AATTGTGAATTCTCTTCCGTTTTCACTCTTCTCCCCTCTATTTTTTAACTTTTGTTCGAGTTTCGTGGCCGTCGGGAGATGTCTCGTTATTTCGACTTTTTTTTTAATTGCGATTAATAAAATTATTTTTTTTGGGGGATTCGATTTTGTGAGAAAGTGAGTTCTTCCTTCTTTTTGTTCTCAATTTTTCTCAATTTTAATTCCAACCTTCCAAAATAATTCTCTATTCCTTCGAAACGAAAATCGATCCCTTTTTACCTCAATCGAATTCACACGCATTAGGAGACAATTCCAAGCATAGCAATTTCCAAAGATAGATCGATCTTCGAAAAAACCGTCCTCTCGAAAGCGCAATTCTCAACAAGGACGAGGCCTCGGTTGTCCGTCGGCGCCGAGCGACAAAAGCTCGTCTCCTTTACCGACGGCGAAAATATCCGGAACGGCAAATTATTTCCAAGGTCGACCCCGGATGTTACGATTTTTTTTCCCCTCAACGATCCTCTTCCGCCAATACTCCAATTTTTTTCCTCTCCCTCCCCCCATTTTTTCGAAACGAAAATTTCCCGTTCCCCTAAACACGCACAGAGAGATAGATAGATAGATAGATATATCTCCAAGGCCGTAACGAGCTTCGATTCTTTTTCTCCTTTTCTTTTTTTTCTCTTCTTTTTCGTCCCTTTTCCACGCGCATCCGTGCCCTCGTGGACACGGATCCGTGCCTCTCAGTTTTCGCCACGTCGTCGTCGTCGAACGTACGAACGAACGTACGAAATTTCGATCCGAATCGAAGCGAAGCGAGGCAAGCAACGGCGCTCGATTCGATGCACGGTGTCCGACGGCGGGCAGCGCGACGCCATTTTATCCAGCTCGCGCTCGACCGCGATGGCGACCGCCTCGCTCGGTTAATATTTCAGTTCGATGTTTTTTGAATAGGTATGTGTGTATATATATATGTATATATGTATATATGTATATCGTTGCTGTTAACATTGTTTCGTTTATCGTATAATTCGTTATATACGTAACGTAGATGGTGGTAGTGGTGGTGGATTTCTTTTTTTCTTTTGAGGTAGGTTCGACGCGTGTATTTCGTATTTCCCGATACAACTTGCTTGTTATTCGTTGTTATTCGAGGTTAGTTTTATAGTCTCGCGTGTTTCGTGTTGTGATGGTTTATCGTGTTATTTTGTAGAATGGTAGCGAGTGTGTTGTGCGTCGAATACGTCGAATAATTTTCGATTCGACATTTTGGGAAGGGGGGGGAGGAAGGAGGAGGAAGGGGAGGGAGGGGGAGTGCATTCAATACAGTTATTTTCATATTTCTTTTTTTTTTCTTCGTTTCGCACGAATTTGAAGAGAGAAACGAGAGAGAGTTTGGATATTTATTAAAATTGTTTAAAAACTTCGGCGAATATTATTTCGACGTCATTTTGGATATTATCTAACTTCCTTAAATTAGATTCTTTGATCTTGAATTTTGGATTGAAGAATTTTGTTAGAATTTTCAATCGTTTCGAGAACAAGTTTTATTCATCCCTACGAGCTCCAAAGCAACTTCGAACTTCGAATAAAACTGCGACGTCTCGATTCCTGGGAAATTTTCGATCATTTGAAATAACGAAATTCAACGAATCGAATCGAATTTTTCATTTTCATTATCCGCGTTCCATTTTCTTTCTTATCGACACATACGTTTTATCGATACAATTTGCGTTAAATTTGCATAAATATAGCCCGTCGGTCACGTTCTTATCTTTCGTTGCTTCTCGATACTCGATACCAGTTTTCTTCTATACGCCGTTTCTAAAAATAACGAAATACGTTCTCGCTGGATATTTGTGAAAAAAAAAAACAAAAAATTTCTACTTCTAACTCGATTCGATTTATATTAACAATGCACAATTTTCAACAATTCGCAATTTGTGACTTCATCAAGATTCGAACGTGATGAAAAGAAAACAAGTTAAAAAGTTTCAAATGTAAAAAGTAATCTCGAATTATATTAAGGATACGTTCTTTGTTCGATTTCTATCTTTATTCTGTGTTCAGTGCAACAACACAGTTTCGAGAAGAGTGAAATTAATGTTCGATTCGATAAATAAAAAGATAGAAGATAAATTGTTTCATAATTTCAAAGATAATTCGAAACCTGTTCGTTTTATATATAAAAATATAGATTGGCCGCGTTTATTAATTTTAAAATGTGTTTCACGCGGTGGAACAAGTTGCAATCGTTGAAAAATTGAATGATTGCAATTATTTTTTCTTAAAATTTAATCCCTAATTTCTTATGCATATTATTTACCATGGAAAAAGATGATAAAAAGTATGAAAAGTAGGTATAATAATATCTCTATCGAAATCTAATACTTTTCTCTCTCTCTCTCTCTATTCTCAAGCTATTTTCATTGGAAAGCTCTCCTCTTGTTTCTCGTCGATTTACAACGAGTTTCTAGTTCAAGGCTTAGAATAGGCCCCTCTCTTTAATCGTTTAACCGCAAGCAGCCAGATGGTGTTTACTTGCCGAGTTGATAACATCATGGCTGCCGATGTTTGTGCAAATGTGTTATTTTTATAAAATGTAGAATGGAATTTCTGGTTTTGGAAAAGGATTTAATTTTATTCTTTTCTTTTCTTTTCTTTTTTAAACAAACATCATTTGCATTGTTCGATCAATGTCGTATCGTAACACATTTGTTCACATCGAGAGATTGGTATGGGAAAAAGTATCCATTTTCCATCTCGTGAACAAAGTTTGAAGATGAATATTTTTAAAAGAAGATTCGAGGGTTAATTTTTTTTAGAGAGTTATTAGAGTGGAAAAAGTGATTTTAAATTCTTTTTATCGATATGATTGGAGGAATTTAATAAATGAATAGAAGATAAATGAAATAAAAGAAAGTCGTTAGGAGTTGTTGTACAAAGTATCGTACAATCACTTTCTATTTTTTCATTTATATTCTACACGGTTTTCACTTTTCACACGATGATAATTCGAAACGAGACACCCTGTATAAATCACATTACATTTCTCATATATATATCCTTTCACATTTTCACACGTGAATATTTAATCCTCGAGACTAATTCGAAATCATTCAATTTCCAATCGAACATATTCCACTAATCAAGATGGTAATTTGAAACTAGACACCTTGTATAAAACACATTACACTTATTTTTATATGTTCTTTCATTTTGATGTAAATTATTTATCGTATAAAAATCTGGAAATTAATCAATTCCCAATTCTCATTATCAAGATAGTAATTCGAAACGAGACACCCTGTATAAAATTCATTACATTTTTTCATATATTCTCTCACATTTTGACACGTGAATATTTATCGTATAAAAGTCTCGAAATCAATTCAAAGTCGTTCAGTTTTCAAACTATTTTCTCTACCAAGGTGATAATTCGAAACGAGACATCCTGTATAAACCACATTACATTTTTCCACGTTATATATATAATCCTCTCACATTTTGACCCATTTATCATACAAATGTTTGAAGACTATGATTCAAAATCATTCTTCAACCTCCAGTCAGATGTTTCTCAGACACCCTGTATATAATTACCCATCACACGTTACATTTTTCACATATTCTCTCGTATTTCGATTTTGTATAAAAAAATGTCAAAATCAATCCAGAATCGTTCAGTTTTCAAACTGTTTTCTCACTACCAAGGTGATAATTCGAAACGAGACACCCTGTATAAACCACATTACATTTTTCTACGTTATATATATAATCCTCTCATTTTATTCATTTATCATACAAATGTTTGAAGACTATGATTCAAAATCATTCTTCAACCTCCAGTCAGATGTTTCTCAGACACCCTGTATATAATTATCCATCACACGTTACATTTTTCACATATTCTTTCATACTTCGATTTTGTATAAAAAATGTCAAAATCAATCCAGAATCGTTCAGTTTTCAAACTGTTTTCTCTTTCTTATCAAGGTGATAATTCGAAACGAGACACCCTGTATAAATCACATTACATTTTTCCATATATCCTCTCACATTTTGACACACGAATATTTATCGTATAAAAATCTCGAAATCAATTCAAAGTCGTTCAGTTTTCAAACTATTTTCTCACAAAGTGATAATTCGAAACGAGACACCCTATATAAATTATATTACATTTTTCCACGTTATATATATACATATAATCGTCTCACATTTTGACACATTTTGACACATTTTGAGACTATAATTCGAAATCATTCTTCCAGTCTGTCAGATTTCTCAGACACCCTGTATATAATTACCCATCGCACGTTACATTTTTCACATATTCTCTCGTACTTGGACACTTGTGCGAATATTTATCGCATAAAGATCTCGGGGCTAATTATGGCGGTTGCACGGACACGAGGAAGGCTCTCCCGGTGGAAATGTTTGGCGAACCGCGGTTTACGAGGTGTCGTCGCTCATCGCGCAACGGCCGTTAGTCCGGTATCGCTAATAAACCCGCTTAACCGAACGCGAATATGTCGCGTTATCGAGGGAAACATTATGTCCGCGTTAACAATGGCCTCGCAATGCGGCGCGCAACCAGAGCTAATCTGTCCTCGAGTTGCCGCTTTCGACGACTCGAGTATATATATATATATATATATATTGGAAATATTTCGTCGTTGTTTTGTTGAGTAATTTTTCGTATTTATTAAACTTTCCAATTAACAATACCTCTCAATATTTAATACGTAATTTTCGAGTCGACGGTGTAGTAGCACGTAGTTCTATCTTTAGGATTTAACCGTTTCTATTATTAATCGTTCGAGTAATATTTTTCTTTTTTAAAATTATTCGATCGATCGAAATTTTTCTCTCGAAGATTTTCAGCGTTACGTTTTATCGATCGAGTAGTGGAAAAAAAAAAAAAAAAAAAGTCGAATTTAAGGGAGGATGACGAGAAATAAGATCGATAAAAATTGCAAAGAGTTTTCTAATCGGTTGGTTACTTGTTTTCTGTCCAGGTTTCCCCATGTGGCGAAGAAGAATTATCGTTGTTCGTTCACCGCCCCACCCACGGCCCATCAAAGGTGAGTACGTACAATAAAGAGTAATTTATAACTGTGGTGTGCTCGAAAACAGGTAGGGAAGGGTTAATTGCAACAAAACGAAGCGAGATGCGAATCGCGCGTCTTGGCAACGAATTCAGTAGTTATTCAATGATCTTCTGTTTCTAACAATGTGAAAACGTGTCTCGTGAGGGACAATTTGTTCGAATCGGCCTATTTATCCGATTATCCGTGTGCAATTAATTTTTAACGGGTCACATATGGCTCTCACTCTCGATCGAAAAATCGCTTTGAAATTTATTAATCGTAAAATGGAGTTGAACGAATTGGTTCAGCTATCGTATAAATCGAACGGGGAATAAATTATAAAGGGAATATTCGATGAATCGACATCCGTTTAATTATCCATAATCCAATTAATTTTTTTCACATTGTGTCGTAGTTTTTCGACCGAGAAATCGCTTTGAATTTCCGTCAATTGCAAAAATTGGAGCAACTTTCTTTCGTCATCTTTCGTATAGATCGAAGAAAAATAAGAAATCTCTTGTATTGAAAAATTCTTCGATAAATCGATGTTTATCCAATTACGTATAATCCAATTAATTTTTCTCGCATATCAGTTTCGTTTTTGATCAACAAAATGGAGTGACTAATCATTTCCGTCGTATAGATCGAAGAAAAATAAGAAATCTCCAATATGAAAATTTCTTTCTTAAATCGATGTTTATTTAAATACATATAACCCAATTAATTTTTCTCGTGTCATCAGTTCCATTCCCAATCAACAAAATGACGAATCACTTGTTCCGTCGTATAGATCGAAGAAAAATAAGAAATCTCCAATACAAAAACTTCTTTGTTGAATCGATGTTTATTTAATTATATATAACCCAATTAATTTTTCTCGTGTAACAGTTCCATTCCCAATCAACAAAATGACGAATCACTTGTTCCGTCGTATAGATCGAACGAAGAAAGTAATCTCCGTCGCAAAGAATTTATTCGAATATATTTCCTTGATTGTCCACGATCCTGAACCAAAATTATTTAAATCCATCGACCGCGAAACAGACCACCGTCTCTATCTCCACCAAAAACTCGTGTCCATTTATTAAACGCAAGTTTGTCGACGTTGCTCGCCGTAAATCTCGTTTCGACCTAAACTCACCGGCTCGTGCATTACGTCCACCGAAATGATTAATACGCGTATCGTAAAATTGGTAGCGCGTATATACACCGCTGCCTCTTATTTCGCCTCGTCCGCTTCCGACGGTGCGAGATCCGGCGGAAGGCGAACGGGACGCCTTTTCCAACGATGAATCCAACGACTTCCTATCCTTCCTCCCAACTCGTGAAAGCGCATCTTTAACACGGGTTGGAGAATTTTTTCTTCTTCCTTTAATTTTTACAAACGACACACCGGATTAAGAGAATTTATATCCGATTATATAATATCCGACGAAGAAATTTCTGACGAGATTGAACAGATCGAAATTTTCAAAAGTTTGGATAAAAATATAAATACGAAAAAAATAGTGAGAAATATATATATTATAATATTATTATTATTATGATATACACGTGTATCGTAACGATGTATCGTTGGACAATATTTCGAATATTCAACGGAACGAATTGGCTAAGAAGTTTCTAGAATAGTAACTTTGGTATAGGAAGGAATTATATATCTGGCTAGATTTTCGCTCGGCGGAAGTAAAAAGCGGCGGAATTGTTTGGAAAGCGTCGTATTGCAATTTGGCGTAACTCGCGTCCGGCGGAAGCGTACCTCCGATTACGATTATTTAAAAAATGGCGGACTCGCAACTTCTCCCCGACTCTTAAAAACCTCTTTTTAACATTTTTATCGCACGAATTTTTTCTTTCTTTCTCCGTTTCCCTCGTATTAACTATTTCTTATCCCGAGACTAGAAATTTCGAATGGATTGTATCTGTTGGACTAAATTGGCTAATTTAAACCCTTGAAACTTCGTTTCTTTCGAAACACGCGGCGAGAAAAATTGGATTACAGGCGAATGAAAATCTCTTCTCGCGCTTCAAGAAAGTAAATACTTGATCGAGGTTATAAATAAATATATATATATATATATAATCCATTCGAAATTGTTGTATATCGATAAAAGTATTTTGCGATTTTAGAAAACTGTCTGAAGGCATGTTTTTCACGCATTTTATTGTATTAAAGGCTACATTTTACTAGCCGTAACTAACTATGGATATTAACAGGATATTCACACTTGCTCGTACGACATGCCGCCATGACAATTACGACGCGTTCTTCACGTCGCGTTGGTTAATTCGACTAGGTATAATAATGCACGCTTGACCTTCACTTTCTTCTTTTGCCTGACCTTTTATCTCCATATCATCCTCACTTTCTATCGTTTTCTTTCTAAAAATCGAAGAATTTGCACCGATAATAATAATAATAATGAACGTTTTTTCAATCCTTATGGCTTATAAGGCTTTTTTCCCCCCTTTTTTCTTCTTTTTTTCTCGCCAGGGTATACAATTTATTTATTTTTTCTAATGCATATTTGGATATAACGTAATGTTATATCAATTTTCTTTCTTCATAAAAGAAAGCCAAACTATCTTTCTGTTTTTCTTTTTTTCTTTTATATTCGATTAATTTCGAAATAAATATAATAGAGCGTCGATTAAAATTGTTTATTAAAATTGTTGTGGAAGGATCTTCTTTCGTGTTTCGTTTAAAGAAGAATGCACGGCGAGTTTTAAGAATTTACACCCGATCTTAGGGAAGACTGGCTTCCCTTCCATCGAATGGTGAAACGGAACGGTGAATTTGCAGGGACACACCTTCGAGGGGTTTTCAGGGCTGGAAATAAGGGCTGCTGGGATATGGTATTAGCCAGTGCGTTATGCTCCATGCCGGTGCGAGGTTGTTGTTCTGGGCTCTTCCCATTTTTCGCTGGAATTTTAAACGTGTGTGTGTGCCTATGTGTGTGTGCGTGTCTCTATTTGAAAAAGAGAGGAAGAGAAGGAGGATGACTCACGATGGAAAAGTCGAGGGAAAGGAAGGTAAAAAGTAATGAAATTTTGTTTAATAAATAATAAATGTTCCTCGATTTTTACAAAAATTTTATATATATATATTTTTTCCAAGATTCTTACGAAATATTAATTTTCCATTGGGAAAGGATATATTGATAATATATCGGGATTCCAAATATTTGTTTACCCTTAAATCATCGAGATCCGCGGCGTGGTCGTAATATCAGCGGAGGTAGTTGGAAAGTATCGTGATAAGCTGACGTGGTTTATTTATAGCCAGTCGTATCTTCTCCTTCCTCGATGCCAGATTCATTAAATTAATCCGTGGCCCTCCTCCTCCCCTTATGACGCATCCTCCCTTCCCTCCTTGTATTATCCGCGTCACAAAAGCTGCTAGTCTCTCGAACAGGGAATCTCCCTTTATTAACTAGAAATATTTCTATACGTTTTTGTATATATTCTTGATATCTTTTCTACGTTTCTTATATATTTTTCGCGCGTTTAAATTTCTATAATTGTGAATTATTTCATTTTTATTTCTAGACATTTATCTTTTTCCGTTCCATTTGTATTATAGAATTGAATTTTGTATTCTCAGATAGTTTAAATTTTCACGATAACGGGTGATAGGTGAGGTAATGGATTCGTTGTATCGATAGATAGAGACTCGTAGTGGACTTACTTTTTCCTTTTATTATCAATTTATGACGTTTATGGAAACGCGTCATAGTAATTGGAGAGAGATAAGGTCTTTCTTATTCTGAAATAATTGTTCTATCCTTGGAATTATTCGTAAAAATCGAATTTAATATTGTACGTTGTTACATTTTTAGGTTAGGTTACCGGTCGGTAACGGTAGAGCGCGGGCTATTTGAAAATTTTGTTTAACGAAACAAAATGTCTAGAAATGAAAGAAGAAACGAATAAATTCGCGCGCTTCCTTTTCCTTCTCCTTTCCTTTAGTAGCCCAGCACGTTTATTTTATTTTAAAGTTGCAGCCCAACTTGTTTGGGTGGATCCGGGTGCAATTGCGAAACTACTGATTTGTTGCATGCGTTGCATCGTAAAACCAGTTGGAAAAACCGGTCGCCGCCTTCCGATATTTACGAGCCAACGTGTGCAACGATTGTATAAAATCCCTGTTTCGTGAGCGCGGCAAATTATATTTTTTCCCCCCCTTCTTCACTTCTCCTCCATCTTTCACGCTTATTATTATTGCTCCGATTCCCGAGTGTTCCGAAAACACACCTTTCCCGGATCGTCTTTATCGACCGAGCTCCCGCTCCGAGAAAAACCGTGTAAAAACGGACGATCAGATATCCAAACCGTTCGTTTCACGTATGAACGCAGATACACGGCGTTCAAAAGCGCGTTCATCGCGTGTATCCGAGCGTGCCTCCATCAACGGTTGCCGCGGGACGGCTGTCATAAAGCCATTAACTTTATTATACCGAGTCATTAACTTAAATATTACGACTCACGTGTCGCGAGTTTCGGCTCTGTTGATTTATCGCAGCCGGGGATTTCATGACGTAACGGAACGCCGCCGCCGCCGCCGCAACCGCGAAACGGTTTGTTCACCTGGTGAACGACGAAGAAGGCGACGAATCCGCGGAGGAATCTTTCGATGAAACGAGGGGAATGGGATTCTTTCTTAGGCTGGATTTTTTTTTTTTTTTCTTTTTGTATTTAACCAACGAGATTCGAAGATTATCCGAATATTTCTTCATTTTTTAATTTTTATTTATTGAGAAATTTGGGTAAAGTGGATCTCTCTGGAATCTGGATTAATATTTTATTTTTATTCAACGAGGTTGAAAGATTTCTCTTTTATTTCTCTCGATATTTATTGAGATAATCGTTCGACAAAGTGGATCTTTTTAGAATTAATATTTTATTTTTATTTCAGGAGGTTGAAATATTTTTTCTTCTTTTTTATTTCTCTCGATAAGGGATTTTGATAAAGTAGATCTTTCTGGAATCTGAAT